GGCTATAGTCGCAGTATGCTGTATTTGAGTAAAATAACCGTTTACTACTGACGTAACGACTGATGCCTTTGAAGGCTATAGCCGGTGCGTCCTATTTGTATAGTCAAAGACTACATACCTGTGACGTAACGTTTGGAGCAGGCGAAGGCTATGGCCGGTGTTGTCTTATTTAAATACGTTGTCTTTTTTACCGGCGACAGTACGGCTATAGCCTTTCATACAAAAATCTTGTGTCAAGATAGGGTTACAAAATCAAGCAAAGTGTCCGCGAACGTGTTAAACTGTCAAACACCAAGCGGTCACCGGTGACCGCTACCTATTGTTCTTTAATTGTGTCTATAATGACGGTGCTCGACGAGTTAAAAATACGCATGAATTTATATTTCCCGCAACTATAGTATATTATTGCAATAGTGAAATATTGCACTATTGCCGCATCAAATAAAAAATCTACCAATTTCTACAGTACTAATTTTATTCCCAACTGCAGCAACACTCACGCAGTGACTTGTCAAATTTACCAACTTGCAAGTTAGCGTCGAAGGCGAATCCAAATAAACATTTAATTTTCTAAGTTCTTTAACAAATACAACAAAATTAATCCCAAAATGTCTGACAAACAGAAAGTAGACCTCGGCCTTCTTGAAGAAGATGACGAATTCGAAGAATTCCCCGCTGAAAGTAAGATTTTTGACATATCTTTTAGTAGACCGAACTTTGTGAGAATTTTGCTTATTTTGATGCTATTTCGTTTTAGATTGGGGAACTGAAGATGCTGATGACGAAGACGTCTCAGTTTGGGAGGACAACTGGGAGGATGACATCGTACAGGATGATTTCAACCAACAGTTGAGGTTAGTATTGTTTAGTTTGATTATGACGTCAAAACACCATGATTCGATGATTAAAAAAATTAGATTTTTATAAAAGTGTATGTTAATGTAATCATGTAATGGTAATATGAAATGTAACATTAGAATGAGATATGCTCGTCATATAAGTACATAAAAGTTAGGATCTTAGGATGCCTTTGTCTCAAATGCCAGTAAAGTGGTTCTGGGTTGGTTTCCCGGGTTGATTAAAGTAAAACTATACTTCATTTCTGAAAATTATTTGTTTGGAGTTGTGCCTGGAATAAATTATTTCAATCGACTCACTATTACATCTACCCCTTCAGGGATTTAAATGGCTAGACATTGTAGTGGGCCTAATTTCTATGATTAATATTGTATAAGTCATAAATTGTCCCATAAAAATTTATGAAGGATATTATGGGATGAAGGCGGGGTATGAAATATAAAAATCTATTTTGTCCGAAGTTAAGTAATCAAAAAATATTAAGCACATATTTTTTATTTTATTGTATAATAAGATAATACTTAGATATA